CCAACCAGTTTTCTTTGCTGTTCTTAGATTTCTCCTGTTCACTTTTTATTAATCTTTGCATATACCAATGAAAGTATTTCTTTTTCGAAATAGCTAACTCTTTTGTGCCGAATGAGAGGTTTGCGTATCGTCGCTTATTTGCTAGTGGGAGAGCAAGACATGAACTAACACTGCTCAAACTTGTCCAAATTGTACATATCTTACTATATTGTTCATATATGTTCTTCAAATCTTCATAGTTTTAACTTTTCTGACAAAAAATTCAAGACAGGACGAATCGCTTATTAGCTAAAATCTGTATATTTAGTAAAAGATTTCTATAAAATCATTGTAAAAATACTGTTCTATAAGAGATCAGAAAAAGAAGAACATAAAAGGAGTAAATCCTTAAATTCACTTTACTTTGCTAACAAAAAGTTGAACAATCATCCAATAAATATAACTCCAAATGCTTCAGATAAGAACAAAAAAACAAAAAACCAGATGATCAAAACAAAATCTAAAGGAACAAATGCTAACCTTGTTGCAGGATCAACCTGCCTCAACAATGAAGGGTTCGGGACGACGACCTCCGAAATTGGGGTCTTCATTGCCCTATCCTGATCCTCTAGATTCTCCGTTCGAGCCAAGAACGCAACGATATCCAAAGAAGAGAGAATTCCCACAAATCTCTGCTGTTTCATTTCACCATTCTCAATCATTCCCACATGAGTTTTTCTCTTCCAAATTGGTATCCCACACTCTGTTGACTCTCCGATCCCCCTTATCGCCGTTTCAATCGTCTCCGTCTCATAAAACTCCACCACCTCCGGCTTCCCCACTGTCAGATCCCCAACCACATGATACAAAAAAACTGATGCCATAACAACTCTTCACCTTTCTAAGATAAACACAACCAAAATCAAATAAAACCAATACTATTAGATCAATCTTAAACACAAATCTCCTCGAACAATCCAAGATTAAAAATCTACATTAAATGGAAAGAATCTTCGCTTCCACTTCGATTTTGTTAGGAATCACGACTCTCCACAATGATATGATATTACCCACTTTGAGCATAGACTCTCGTGACTTTGCTTTTGAACAGATTTAAGATCCAACAGAACAAGTATTGAATAAGACAATATGAAATTAAATTCAACATATAGCAACAAAAAGAAGGGTTTAACGAAAAGTACCAAGGTTCTCTTCGATTCGATTCGATTCAAGCTCTCAAACTTCGCAGGAACCGAACGACGGAGCCGAAAAACCCGAACAAAATGGGCAAAAGTTATAAAAGAGAATGAAGGAAGATAAGCAATAAATCAAACCTAGTAATAGGCAATCTACGAAGACTCAAAAACTCGGAGCAAAGAGAGTCCGCCATTGATAACGAAGAACAAGAAACGAAGGAAGATGAGAAGAAGAAGGAACAGAGTTAATGCCCATGAAAAACCGCTCAATCAGCTCGAATCCACCAAACAACAACAAAAAACAGTCACTGAGTTGCTCTGTGAATCAACGAAGAACAATTCAGAGAAGAATCTTAGAACATGGAAGACGAAGACGAGAAGAAAAAAAAAATGGGAATCGAGAGATGAATTATTGAATAATTGAATTATTGAGCCGAGACATAGAAGGCAAGAACAGAGAACAGGGTTGGCAATTAATGAGTGACGTGGAAGCTTAAACACATGAATTTTATTTTATTTATTTTATTATTATTATTTTCAGGGAAATAATTAGTGATAATGTTTATGAGGAAAAAAAAATTAAATAGGAAAAATCCAAAAAAAAAATGATTGATTGATTAAATAAATAAATAAATATATATATATATTTTTAGTCCCTTTCATATTTTTTTTATTATTTAAATATTTCATTTTATTTTATATTTTAATAAAAAAATTAATTCATCGGGTTGTTTCGTGAAAATATTTGTGTAGTCCCCGCTCTATAAATTTTGGATAGAGTGAGGACCAAACTAAAAATTTCAGACCGAAAATTATTATTATTATTAGATGGATTCAAAATTATGCTAATGAGACTGTCCGTTGAATTATAGGGTTAGTTTTACTTCGAACAACTGTCACGGTCATATATCTTCAATTGTGCGGTGTCGTAATCTTGACACACTCACGATTAATCGTAAGTAACACGCAAGCTTCGTATTCATTTTTTGCTCGACTTTGTGGCTTCGTCGGAACATCGACAAGGTTTGTCTTCGCCAATTGGACATCATTTGTACAAAATCCAAGCTTATTCGGCCACACACGTTGTTCATGCATGCATGTTCATTCATTGAGACACAACAACGTCGCATCTCGATTGTCATCTTGACTCCCAAACAGCACGACTCATTTTTTGTGATATTGTTCCATGTCACGGGACACATCAGCTATCTTGACTTGTTCGTACACGTCTGTTGGGAATGGTCAAAATTGATAATTATGAAAATTTGAGGGGCTAGTAGCCTTTAATATTTCCATAAAAAAAATCAATGGGAAATTAATGACATGAACTATTTTGAAGCATTTCATAAATCTAAGGACTTGAATTGCAAATATTAAAACTTGTGGGGACCAAAAGAGACTATTCAAAGCTACCAATGATAGGGACTATTTGGAAGCATTCATAGTTCTAAAGGACTAGATTGCAAAATTCTAGAACTTGTTGGGACCAAAAGAGACTTCTTGTCAAATTTGGGACCAAAGGGACGTTTAAGCCTGGGGTATTTTACGCTCGATAATAATGATATTCATATAACTCGAGAACCCGATCAACCTGAACTACCCAATTCATACCATAAAAGTTGGGCTAAATTAAAATTTTCGGGTTAGGTTGAATTGTGAAAAAATAAAAAATTTGAATAAGTTCGCAAATTGACATTTTTTTTGTCGAGTCAACCCAACCAATCAAAAAATAGGACTACCGTTCATCCCAACTCTACCCTACTTTTAAAATTATTACGAACACTAAAAATATTTTACATTTGTAACCGAGCTAATGATGTGTCGTGACCCGTAAATATTTGATATTTAAGTTTTATGAAATTTTATTTATTAACGTAAGTAACGTGTATGGTAGATAATTATATTTTTTAAAAAAATTCGACAACCCAATAAAAAAAATGAAGAAATGAGTCGTGAATTCAAGTGGGTCGGGTTGAAGGCAAGAACGCCTGCAAATAACCCTAATTTAAAAATAAGTAACCCGACCCAAACTAAATTGGACTAAAAAAAATTTATAGTTGGATTGAGTTTGATTCATTATTTAATAAGAATAACCCGAACAATTAGGTTGAATCTAAATAGTATCATAACCCGACCCAACCGAACTCATAAACACTCTTAAATGATTCAACAATCGAATCATCTTCATTTTTTTGCTTTGGAACACGTGCTCGACACCAGCTCAATTTGATTTTGTCATGCATATACGTCGTTCATATCAGTTTCATAGTGTGGTCACATTTTAGCGGAATATTTATTTTAAGAAAATTACAATAATTTTCAAAAATTAAAAATAGTCAAAGGAAATAAATACTTCATATTATAACAACAAATAAATAATTAATTATATTTATACCTTTATGAGAGAAAAAAAATATAATTATATTATATTTTAAAACTAATAATTAGATTTAAGTAAGTCATTAAATAATATAAATTTAAAAGAAAACAAAGAGTTTTATATCGTGCTAATAAATTTTTCCTATTTTATATTTCAAACATTTATACAATAAAATAAATAATTCTATTATACCTTTTGTGAAACATTTCAAATTAATAATTATTATAATGACCCGACTTTTTGTGAAACATTTCAAATTAATAATTATTATAATGACCCGACTTTTAAAACATGACTATACTGCACCATGTACTTGCAATTTGTCCCCGACCCAATCAACTGAGAAGTTCAAAATCAAATGTGTTAAACTAGATCTATGTACCACTTATGTCCACCGCTAGCAGATATTATTCGCTTCAGTCTGTCACTTATCGTTGTCAACCTTACGGTTTTAAAACGTGTCTACTAGAAGGGGCCCAGTGTCTTCGTTGGCACACCGCATAGTGTACGACTTTGAATCATTTGTAACAGCCAGAATCCACCGTTAGCAGATATTGTCTGCTTTGGCTTGTTACGTATGATCGTCAGTCTCACATTATTTATTCTCTCCAACTGACGTGGAATCTCACCATCTTTAGTTTCTAGCTTAATTGCGACTCTGAGTACGTAAAAATTAAGAGTCGTTACAGTTTAGTATTGTATTTAGGATTAGCTTAAGTCGTAAATATCGTCACTTTGTTTTATTTACGAAAATAAAAGCATTAAAAAGTTGACACAACGATCAACTAACTTACAGTATGCTATTAGACCAACGATTCAATTTATTAAACACAAAATATTTGTAGATGAATCTAACTGTTATTTAGATAACTGATAACCCGAACAACCTAAATTTATGAATGAATCTAAGGGTTATTTAAATTGACGGATAACCCGAACAACCTAAATTTATGAATGAATCTAAGGGTTATTTAAATTGACGGATAACCCGAACAACCTAAATTTATGAATGAATCTAAGGGTTATTTAAATTGACGGATAACCCGACGGATAACCCGAACAACCTAAATTTATGAATGAATCTAAGGGTTATTTAAATTGACGGATAACCCGAACAACCTAAATTTATGAATGAATCTAAGGGTTATTTAAATTGACGGATAACCCGAACAATCTAAATTTATGAATGAATCTAAGGGTTATTTAAATTGACGGATAACCCGAACAACCTAAATTTATGAATGAATCTAAGGGTTATTTAAATTGACGGATAACTCGAACAACCTAAATTTGTAGATGTTTGATATTTGAGCTAAATACATATTAATTAAAAAAAAAAAAAAATCAATCGATTGTATTAAATAAAATAGAAATAAATAAAAAATAAAAAAATAAAAAAATAAAAAAGAGTAAACCCCTAAACCCTTACGTCTTCCTCTCACTCTTTACGTGTTCAACTTCTTTCTTCTTCAAGCCGGCTCCTCCTCCCTCTCAGCAGATCAGTGCCGCCGCCGCCGCCACATCCCTCCGCCTTCTGCCGCTTCGTACGTAAATTTTTTCTCTGGATATTTTATCATTCTCAAATTGGAGGCAAGAACGCCTGCAAATAACCCTAATTTTTTTTTTCTATTCGTTTTATAATAGTTTTGCTCTGAAAACTACATGTAAACGGAAGAAATCGATCCCTATTTCGTCTCCCCTCAACCGTTCCAACTGTAAAATCTACTGTTTATCGTTCTCATGTGTTAGTAATTTCAATTTTTTTTAACTCTCTAGAAATTTGTCGGTTGTGATGCGAATTTCTCTGGTTTTGAGTCTGGGTATTTGGGTATTTGGGGTGTTATTTAAAGGGGCATTCGCCTAATTGTATCTTCGAATTTCTTATATTATTCCTTGAATTTGGGTTGATTGCTTTTCTGATACTGGCTTGCACAATTGCTTTATATTCGAATGTAGGGAAGCTTATTTTGTTGTAATTGCAATGTCGTCCTTAAAGAATGCGGTTCCTAAACGGCCTTACAAGGAGCGAGCTCAGCCGTAAGTGATAAGGCTTTTCATGTTACTATTGTTATTGTGTGTGTGTGTGTGTTTTTTTTTTAACCTTTTATGGATGACGGATTTGTGTACTTGTTTAGGAATTCTCGGAAGAAATTTGGGCTTCTTGAGAAGCATAAAGACTATGTCGAGCGTGCTAAGGCTTATCATAAGAAGGAAGATACTTTACGGGTAATGTTTGAAACGCCTTTACCACGGCATTTACACAATTTTCTGTTATTTATCGAATTCTGTCGACGTGTCCTTGATTTGGTTGTTTTGTATTCTTTGTGTTGATCAATTTTCAGAAACTTAAAGAGAAAGCAGCATTCAAGAATCCAGATGAGTTTTACTTTAAGATGATTAAGACGAGAACAGTTGACGGAGTCCATAGACCAGAGTAATCACTGTAGATGATTTCGAACATCGACTGATTTTGGTACTTCTTTCTGTTTTCTTATGCTCTTAATCTTTATATGTTGTAGGAGTCAAGTAAATAAGTATACTGCGGAGCAACTCATGTTGATGAAGACCCAAGATGCAGGGTATATACTTCAGAAAGTGCAGAGTGAGAAAAGGGTGAGTTCTTAGCGAGGTTTTGTTTCTTTTATTGACTAGGATTCCTTTGAAGAACTTGTTGATTTATTAATTTATCTAATATATCAACTCTGACTCTTCTGTACAGAAAATTGAAAAACTGACAGCCACGTTGCATTCGCTTGATAATCAGCCATCAAATAAGCATATTTACTTTGCCGAAGACAGGTTTGAGCACAACTTGAAACTTTTTCCACTTTCCCAAACGAAATTACATCAAATAGTTCTTTGTCTGCAAATGGGCAAAACCAAGAGTTATTTGATAAACGCATCAAATAGTTATTTGGTCTTCAAATGGGATAGAAATGCCTCATTTTTTCATAATTATCTTGTTACTTCAGTTTTCTTGAGACTATAGTCATTATGGTTGTGACTTGGTGTAAATGCGTCCTACCCTTCCATCACTATAGCTATGCCACTCTTTTAATCAATTGGAGAGCTCTTTTGTAAATATCCTTTTGGGTTCTCTTCGTCTCTTGTAACTTCATTTGATCAGTGAAATTGTTTCTTATTCAATACTCTTTGGTTTCAAAGAAGAGTCTCAGGAATGCATTAACTTAAGATAAATATATACAAAAGAACATATGATACTGTTGACTAATGTCATCTTATTACTAAAATGCATTCAACCTACTTATTTTGGAGAAATTGGTAAACCTGACTCATTAGCTTCCTGCTCATTCTAATGCAGTGAAGTTTTTTATGTTTAGTTGTTTATAAATTATTTTTGATTACTTGCAGGGAGGAGGCCAATGAAATTCAATCTCGCTCTTCCAAAGGTAGATCAGTGGCATCGTCTGAGGCAGTTCCTGACAGTATTAAAAGGTAGCATTATTACTGTGGATGCAGACAGCTGCATGTAAATCTTTTTTTAGGACACTTTTAATTGTTTTGAAAAGATTAATCAAGCTTATGCAAAGGAGGCACCCCCCTAGGAGTTGACATAAATCCTCTTCGATTATGGTTGATTACAATGGTCAAATGAATTTCACAGGAAGCTTCAACGGGAACAAAATAATTTAGCTAACAAATAAACTTTTTCCCACTTACCCTCCATTGAATATTTTTTCCGCTCTTTGATGGCCCCCTGTAGTATAGTTTTGGTTGCTTAATTGCAAGTGAACCATTGTGTTTCAACCTATGCAGTTATGATGAATTTACGTATGTTTGATTGAAAAGGAGCGGGCATGGGTTTTAAAATTTTATGATGTAGCTGCGAACACTTGTTAGTTTTAAGCAATCGGACAATTGGTATAGAATCATTAGCAACATCACGTGCATCGTTCAAATTGAAGTAATGTCAAAATTCTTGACATTGGATTTTTCAGTTTGTGTGAGAATATTACTTAGAACTTCATGTTGGATGTCCGCAACTTATAAACCTCACAATATTACCTAGGGCTGGAGTGTTGAATGGACGGTGTGAACAAAGATGTTTTATCACTTCCAGATTCTCCCATTATGAGTATAATTGCGGGAATATATTTAGTTATGAGGCTTGAACACTACTTTATTCTGCACTGACGGTAAAGATTCTGCATGTTGAAGTATAGGTTTATTCCTCTCCTGTCCTCCAAAAAGTTTGTTCCTTTCAAGCCAAGTATTCCAGAGGAATTTCGGATGAGATCGAGCCAAATGATTTTAGGGCTAACCTTAATCTTCTACCAATGATCAGGTTCTATAACCGGTCATACATAATAATTATAATTTGAATCTTTAGAGGTTCAATTTCTTACTTGGCATATTTTACTCAGTAGATTGGCAGTCTTTTTCAATGCATCAAATGTTACCTGATTTGTGTGTGGTTTCCTTCTTTTCTGAACACAGGAAAACCATTTCGTCTTACAAAGAACTGGAGGCAAGGAGGAGTAGAGTCAGTGAATTGGAGAAACTTTATATGGATATGACACTGCAACAGGAATTAATGGTACTTTTCTAATGTGATTGTAGCTGTGTCAGTTTCGTGGACGGGTAGATCGTGTATTAAAATGATTATTGAATCTGAAATGTGATACATGCTTATAACAGAAAAAGGGTCGCAAACGTAAACTCAGAGAAGATGAACTCACCAATCCAACTTCAAAATCTGTATACAAGTGGAGGGCAGAACGAAAGCGATAACAAAGGTCTAATGCTTTACAGTTTTGCTCGCTCTATATATGTTAGTGTTTTGTTTTATAAAATTTTTTCTACATTAGCAACATCGAGTTTCCTAAGATTGTAGAAGTTCTTGATGTTGCATTGCAATGGGGCGCTGCTGGCACAATATCACTGTCAGTGGTGTGTTATTGCAATTTCTCTTAGTTTTTTTTTTTGTTTTTTTTTTAATCTTTTGAACACTGTATATCAGTCAATTGATTGTTTTTCCTGATTGGGTTGTGTACTTGGACCACAACTATCAAGAATTGACTACTTTGAAAGGCTCAAAATCATCAGAATTGAAAAAGAAAATTACATTTATAGTCCCATGGGTTAGATTGCATTTGAGTCCCTGATTGTTTTTAAACTCAACAAGGGGATTTCTCGTTTGTTTATTTATTATTTTTTTTTTGTTGGGAAGGGTGGAAAGAATGTAAGAAGGGAAGGAGTGGGAAGAATGTGAACAAGAATAGAGAGAAAAAAAAAAAAAAAGGAATACAGGGGGAAGACCTCCCTCGTTCTAGATCTAGAATGAAGGAACAATCTAGAATGAATGAGGGAATGGTAACAGCCCAAGCCCACTACTAATAGATATTATCCTTTTTAGACTTTCCTTCTTAGGCTTCCTCTCAAAGTTTTAGAACGCATCGAGGTTTTCACACCCTTATAAATACTTCGTATATGGGATCTCACAATTCACCCTTTTGGGGGCCAGTGTTCACGTTGGCATACCATTTGATGTCTGACTCTTATACCAATTGGAACAAAGCATTTCTTATATATGAGCGCGAAAATCTCTTCTTAGCACACGCGTTTTAAAACCTTTGCAACCAAATACAAATGCAACCAAATACAAGCCATGTTATTACTGAATGCGTTTGTTTTCATTTTCTCATTCTAGGATTTGGTTTTTGTTTACAGTTCCTGGCCCAGGCAGATTTTGCAGAAGATGATGTAGTCAAAGTTTACAACTTGAAAATTCCTGGGAGATGATCACTGTTGAATCACTGAGGACCGACCAACATTCTGGTTCCTTGTGTTAGTTTGTCAAATTTTGTCTTCACAGCTTAATTAATTAATTAAAACATGCTGTATTTCTTCTGGGGTATAAAGTATGTAATCAAATTATTGTTACCGTTAATTTACTGAGTAATATAGTTTTATTCTTCAATCCTACTTAGCAGAGTGCTTGGCAACCTCTTTTTCTTTTTTCACTTTGTTTATAGTTTATTTTATAATATAAATAGTTGGCCTATGAACGTTTTTTAGGACCATATATATACTTTTTGGAGTAATTATATGTTGGATGACCTCTTTGGAAGAAATTTTCCTAGAATGCATGGGAGTAAGAACAAACTATGTTGGAAAGATCAAATATCGGGCCCATCAGGTGTTGAATCCAGACTTGAATCCTGGTCAAACTCCGGGGCATGAGTTGTTACAAATGGTATCATAGTGATATCTCTCCCAGTAAGATGTGAACAAACCAAAACGAAAGTTGTTGGATATAGGACACCCGAGTAAAAGCCTCTCCCAGTAAGATGTGAACAAATCAAAACGAAAGCAAAACGAAAGCTGTTAGATATGTAACAACTGAGTAAAGGTCTCTCCCAGTAAGATGTGAACAGGCTAAAGTGGAAACTGGTGGGCACGTGATGCCCGAGTAAAGACCTCTTCGAGTAAGATGTGAACAAACCAAAGTGGAAGCATATGAGTTGAGTAAAAGGAGGGGTACAGGGGTACATGAATGAGACCACATCTAAATGAGAATGTTGAATCAAACAAATACAGAAATAGTGAGGTGGGTTGGTGCTAGAAGAAAAGGGTTGAAGACGGTGATAAAGTGCTGACACGATCGTTGTTTTTTATATCATCTCATTTTTGTCCCTCTCACTCTCGTCCGGTTTTCATATCCTCTCATTCTAGTTCTAACCTAAGCAAAATATTAATCATCAGAGTTCGAATTATCGAGTCATATTTCATTTGAGCTTGAAAACTTTCGTTCAATGTTACCCAAAAATAAATAAATAACCCATTTTTTAAAAGAAATCCTGCCTCTCCAAAAACCTTACAAAAATCAGGTCCCCTTGGCTTTACCAAATCCCCAAAGAGAAATTCATGGGTGTTCATCATCATACACCAAATTGTTGGCTTGAATCAATGTAATCATGCGTTTATGAGAGAAGAAAACTTGGAAATGTCAAAGGAGAAAGCCATTATCACTCTCTTGCAAGGCTGCAACAGCCTCAACAAGCTTCGAAAGATCCACGCCCATGTTCTTGTTAGCGGCCTCCGCCATCACGTCGCCATTAATAACAAGCTTTTGAACTTCTGTGCCATCTCCGTTTCAGGTTCCCTTGCTTATGCCCAGCTTCTCTTCCATCAAATGGAGTGCTTACAAACCGAAGCCTGGAACTCCATCATCAGAGGCTTTGCCCAGAGTTCATCTCCCATTGACGCCGTTGCTTATTACAATCAAATGGTTTGTGCCTCTTTCTCTTCCCCTGATACATTCACTTTCTCATTTGTGCTCAAAGCCTGTGAAAGACTCAAGGCTGAGCGTAAGTGTAAAGAAATTCATGGCACTGTAATCCGCTGTGGTTATGATGGGGATGTTATTATTTGCACTAACCTTGTCAAATGCTATGCTGCAATGGGGTCCGTTTGTATTGCCCAACAGGTGTTCGACAAAATGCCTGTGAGAGACTTGGTTGCTTGGAATGCTCTGATTTCGTGCTTTTCCCAACAGGGTTTGCACGGGGAGGCATTGCAGGTGTACAATCAGATGAGAAGTGAAAATGTGGGTGTAGATGGGTTTACCCTTGTTGGGTTGATTTCTTCATGTGCTCATCTTGGAGCCTTGAATATTGGGGTTCAGATGCATAGATTTGCTCGTGAAAAGGGTCTTGTAGAGAGTCTTTATGTTGGAAATGCGTTGATAGATATGTATGCTAAATGTGGTAGTTTGGATCAAGCCATTTTTATCTTTGATAGAATGCATAGGAAAGACATATTCACTTGGAACTCAATGATTGTTGGGTACGGAGTGCACGGTCGAGGGACCGAAGCTATATTTTGCTTCGAACGGATGTTAGAAGCAAGAATGCAACCGAACTCCGTCACGTTTTTGGGTTTACTTTGTGGATGTAGTCATCAAGGCTTGGTTCAAGAAGGTGTTAAATATTTCAATTTGATGAGCTCCAAGTTTAGGCTAAGACCTGAGGTTAAACACTACGGATGCCTCGTGGATTTATACGGTCGAGCTGGAAAGCTCGAAAAGGCACTTGAAACTATACGGAATTCATCACCGAATGATCCGGTTTTGTGGCGAATCTTACTTGGCTCTTGCAAAATCCATAAAAATGTGGGTGTAGGAGAAATTGCCATGAACAATCTCAATGAGCTTGGAGCTACAAATGCAGGGGATTGTATATTGCTGGCTACGATCTATGCTGGAGTGAACGATACAGCTGGTGTTGCGAGTATGAGAAAAACGATCAAGAGCCAAGGGATAAAGACTAGCCCAGGTTGGAGTTGGATTGAAATTGGGGAACAAGTTCATAAATTTGTTGTTGATGACAAGTCCCATCGTGACTCCATTGAAGTTTATGAAAGGTTGAGGGAAGTTCTTCATCAAGCTTCCTTGTTTGGGTATATAAGAGATGCAGAGACTTTGAAGACTTCCACTACATATCATAGTGAGAAACTTGCCATTGCATTTGGATTGGCAAGAACTGCAGATGGGACGCCTATACGTATCGTTAAAAACCTTAGAGTTTGCAGAGATTGTCATTCGTTCATGAAGGCTGTCTCGGTGGCGTTCGACCGAGAAATAATCGTTCGAGATCGGGTTCGGTTCCACCATTTCAAGGGTGGCCAATGCTCCTGCAATGATTACTGGTGAAATGTGAAAAATGTACTTTCAGTTCTGCAACCATTCAAACCTGCTGCAGCATGATGAGTTTATGTAATTACTTGGGCGTTCTTGGAAATAGATATGGGGTTCTTAATAACCATGAAGACTGCATAGCAAGCACAAACTTACCGCAACGAGGACGCTTTACAGGTTTGAATTAAATTGGTTATATGATGATTGTGATGTTCGATCTTTAGTTGGGGAGTTGGGGAGGAGGAGAACAAAACACCTTATAAGGGTGTGGAAACCTTTCTCTAGCAAACACGTTTTAAAGCCTTGAGGGGAAGTCCGAAAGGGGAAACCCAAAGAGGACAATATCTGCTAGCTGTGGTTTGGGCCGTTACAAATGGTATCAGAGCCAGACACCGGACGATGTACCAGCTTTCTCGCTGTTCTTCGAAAGGGGTAGACACGAGGCAGTGTGCCAATAAGGACGCTGGCCCCAAAGGGGAGGATTTGGTGGGGTCCCACATCGATTAGAGAAAGGAACGAGTGCCAGCGAGAACGCTGGCCCCGAAGGGGGTGGATTGTGATGTCCTACATTGGTTGGGGAGGAGAACAAAACACCCTTTATAAGAGTGTAAAAACCTTCCCCTAGCAGACGCGTTTTAAAGCCGTGAGAGGAAGCTCGAAAGGGAAAGCCCGAAGAAGATAATATCTACCCGCGGTAGTCTGGGCCGTTATTGTGATATCTGAAGTTTTTGTCTATATAGTCTAATGAACTTTCAAAATTTTCTAATGAGTTCCTAAACTTTCAATTTTGTTTTTGCTATATGTCACAATCTTCGAAACAACGATGAAGATGGAGGAGCAAGAACAAGGATGGGCAACGAAGGTCAATGAACGTTCAATGACGAAGAACATCGATGAAGAGAATAACGAGAATGGGAAATGAGTTTGTGAAAGTGTGAAAATTTAGATTATTAATTTTTTTTGACATTAGAAAATGTTTTAATAATCATCTCGACGTTCTTTTCACGAGTAACATCAATGTTTGTTGAGAGCATACAAATATTTATAAGAGATAATAAAGTATTTATTTTATTTAAATGACCTGTGTTGTTGAGAGCATGAATCTCTTTGATCGAGAACGTCTACTACAGATCGGGATGCTCTCGGAGGAGCTAACATGAAATAAAAAATACATTCGATTACGAAAATTAGTAGCTAACAATAGAATCATGGGTTAAAAAATGGATTAAAAATTTAAATGTTTAGATGAAAATAAAATAAAAAAAATAAAAATAAAAAAAAATCAAATGCTTTATCATTTTAGTGGGAATAAATAGCGGGTATTAAAAAAAATTCTCCTAACGTCCAGTTTGGCCAATCTTACCGCTCCTCCAATCTTCATCTTCCATGCCCGATCCGACGTCGGACTTCAGATCGAATCGTTCGCTTCAAGTTCTTCTTCCTCATCATCTTCCTCTGAATCCCTAATTCTTTCCCTCTCGATTCGTTTTGAACAGCACTTTCGAAGCTCTGAGGGAGAAACTCTTTTGGCAGTTCCTGAAAATTCAGCACAGGGAGGGGAGCGCCACGGAGACGGACGGAAGTGGTGGCAATCGCTTTTGGTTAGTGAATTTAATCATAATTTTGTTTTGTTCGTTTCTATGCCATTTTTTTAATCATGAGTTGAAAGCCGATTGGAAATGGGAGAAGTATCTGTGATGTAGTTGTTCTTCTCTCGTTCTCTTTCTTTCTTCCCTTTTTTTTCTTTTGTATTTGGTGAGATTATAGTTGAGTGTGATTCTGTCGCAGGTGGAAATAGGGAGGTCCAGATTCCGATCAGGGTTTAATGAAATTCGTGTCTGATTGGAGGAACGTTGAGTGTGATTCGAGGAGATTGACGAATCGCGAGTTGGAAATCACGTGGCGCTATTGGCCCAGTGAATGCATTTCGACCCCATAATTGCTATTGAAATTTACCCATTTAGTCAACTGTATAATTTTTAATCAGGCAAGGTTCCCTCTTCTTTCCATTTGTTGAAGGAGGAGGAGGAGGTGAAAGAAGAGAATCGAAGATGTTTAAGTTCTTAAAGGGAGTGGTGGGTGGATCTGGGTCTGGACTCAAAGATCTGCCCTACAACATCGGCGATCCGTACCCATCAGCTTGGGGCTCCTGGACTCATTTTCGCGGCACCTCCAAGGTATGTTTCTTAAGTGGTCGCTTGGGCATGAACATGATTTAACTTTGGCATTCCGGATTACTGAATTTTGGTTTGTTCAATGCTAAATGATTCGTACTGAATTTTGGAATTGACGAGGCTTGTTCTTGAATTGGGGAATTGTCCATCTTTTTCATAGTTGGCTTCTAACTGTTCAGATCGCTGGTGTGTGGTAGCCTATTTATGGGATTAATTTGCATTGGTTTACAGTTGACAAATTTTAGTTTTCTTGTGTTTTGGTTTTCATTGCTCAACCTTTCCAGCTTGTTCTTTACGAGTTAGGGAAATGAACTCTCAAAATTCTTCTACGTTGAGATGAAACCATGCTAGCTTGAGGTTCATACGCTTAAAAGGAAATGAAATGTTAATCTGGCAGTACATGAACTTGTCTTGGATGATGTTGCAAAACTCTTCTTGTTCTTCCCTTTTCCCTTTGGAATCTTAAACACGTTAGTTAATTATGAAGTGCCCTTTATACAGTTCCTATATAAGAAAAATTTAAATAAGACAGTCTTAGTAAAATAGTGACTTACCGTTGGTGGTGGATGGTTCCTATCAGATCCCAGCGTTAAAGCCTTTCTAGGAAGGAAGTGGGTTATGGGTACGACTTTATTCGACTAGGATTTGTCTATTGGTTGTAGTACAACTGCATCTTTGAGTTCTAGGAAGGAGGTGGGATAATGAGTTCTTGTGGAAGTGGTTATATGAGGTTCTCATTTTTTTGTAACAACACGGAGGCTTTCAAAAGTAGTGGCTTTAGGATATAAGTGTTGTATTTTAACTGGTCATCTGCTATTCTTTTTCTTGATAGAGTAACAATTTTTTTAGATTCGTGAAATTACGAAGGAGATGCTAATGACAATCAGCCAAGGAGGAGTGTGTCTGCAATGGAAGAATCAAGATATATGAACCCTTCCACACAATTGGGGATGTAAAAATGAAAACATCCCTGATTCTTGCATTGCTTTAGCTTTAGATATTGCAGTCTGGTTGGTTAAACATTTGGAGCAATAAGGAAAGGGTGATGTCAGAACAGCTTTTGAAGTTGGTAGAAAATTATTTTTTCTTGGTTTCTCTAAAGTCCTGCCATGTCTTCCTTGTGCATGGCAACCTCCAATCATGTTTGCTGTTTAGCTGATGTGAGCCAATAGCAGCCTGAAACTGCATACTTGCTTTTGTTAGGATCTGGAGCTGGGATTTTTTTGCGGAGTTTCAATCTATCTTGTGGAGGATTCGTAATAAAAAGGTAGAAAGGAACAAACTCAATCTTTTTTTCTAAAGACAGACATCAGGGTGGGAAGATCTTTGGGTCTTTGGGATAAAGTGCTATTTTTCACTTTGTGGTGGTCAAAGAGGGTTAAAATTTTAGATTTGTACTTACATTTGCTTCCATTTATGCTGAATGGAGATGTTTTTTTTTAGTTAGAGGATTTTTCATCATTTTTTCTTGTAATGATTCTTTTTATTTGATTTTTTTTGTCCAAAAAGAGGTTTGCTGGATTCTCATATTCTCCTATTCAAAGGTTATTCATCCTATGCATATTAGAGATCGTTTGCTAGCTGGTTTATATGACATCTGTAGAGATGATATTTGAATCTATTTTCGAATTTTGTTGGTCTAACCAATTGCATTTTTGTTCAATTTAAAACTCCTATTTGAGGTGTATTTTGGACATTTTCCTTGTCAAGCGGTTTGCAGCTTATATGATTCTTGCATATAGGACTTCTATCACCGAAGTCTAGATTTCAGAAAATTTTGGGTTCCTATGTTCCTCATTTCTAATTTATGTATATTTTATGTCGTCTTTATAATAATATAAATTTTCATTTTAAGTGAAGTTGATGTAAGATTGGTTTCATTTTCAGGATGATGGGTCTCCAGTATCTATTTTTTCTCTTTCAGGTAGTGATGCACAAGATGGACATTTGGCTGCAGGTCGCAACGGTGTGAAGCGGCTACGAACTGTAAGCTGCAATGCCTATTGTTATGGATCTAATGCATACAAATGAGTTTTCTTTCTTTCTTTCTTTTTTCTTTTACTAAAAAAACAAGCTTTCATTGAGATCAAATGAAATAATACAAGGGGAATACAGAAAAATCCACCCTCAAGAGGATCTCAATTAACACAAATGAGATTATTTTGTGTCTATTCATAATTTGGATGGCTTTTGTGCTATATGAACTCTATTTTTGTGGATTTTGATCCTTCTTTTTAAACAGTTGATGATATTGTTGCAAACTTGCTCATTAATAATGTAATGTTATACCAAAAATGTCATGTTTGTGGATGAGTCTCAGTTGTATGGGCCAAAAAGTAATTTTCAATATTAAGTGATCTACTTCGCTTTGTCTGCTTCAATTTACGTATTATGCTCCTAGTTTTACTTCATTTTCCTCTTCATTTATACTAGGGATTGATAATTTCTCTTGGTTCACCCATAGAATCTAACATGCGACTTTTTAAAGAATACGTCGGCAGAATGATATCGACATTAATAGTCAAAATCTGCAATTTTATTCAGGTTAGGCATCCAAATATTTTATCCTTTCTTCACAGTACTGAGGCTGAAACTATTGATGGTTCTGCTTCCAAGATTACAATTTATATTGTTACAGAACCTGTTATGCCATTGTCTGAAAAGATCAAGGAGTTGTGTCTAGAAGGTACCCAAAGGTATAAGCAATCCAACCAGCAATATCCAATTTTGGTTTTTACATTCGGTTAACATGTTTTTTTGTTCTGTTTTGTCATTCATTTTTCAGAAGGGGTAAAATTTTTTGTTTTGAGCTTCTAAAATGATCTGCCTTTAATAGTTTTATGCCTTGGAAATGAATGCTAGTTATTGATCTTTAGGAAGTTCAAAATGTGAAAACGACAAGGTATTTTTCATGTTATGAAATGCATCGTTTGTGGAACAGTTTTGTCTATTTATCATCAAAATAAGATTGTCTAACTCTTGCTCAAGGAGCCCTCTGAAAATTTCTATTGGAGGATTGAAAATCTTATTATATTTGCTTGAAATCACTTATGGCACAAACTGTCTTCCTTCAAGGAAATCTCCACTACTATTTTAATAATGTAAAATTTTCAGTTTGATAGCCATATAGATTTTTACCAGAAGCAAACTTTTCATCTTGATACTGCTGCTATCTAGATTCAAAACTCTTATGCAACAAGATTTCATATTTGGAATATGATATTGGCTTTCACTTTTTGTAAGTGGTATATTTTAGTCATTGACATTGTTATGAATTTAAAATGTGAACTTATTTAATATCAATCATGATAACATAAAAATTATTCATTGTATTGAACAATATATTTTTAAAATTTTAATAAAGGAAAAACACACTTTTAGTTCTTGAGTTTTGACTTAGGTTACATTTGAGCGATTGTGGCTTCAAATTCAATATTCTTCCTCTTGAAGCTTGTGATAATCTCAATTTTAATTTTTCCCGTTAGCATTTTTGCTCACTGTTGTAAATTTTGGTTATGTAGGGCTGATTGGACAATTTATTTTTTATTTAAGCCAGCTAAACATTATATATATATAAATATATCCTCACAGCCTAAGAAGCATGAATATGGGCACGAGACATGACACAACAATATGTCAATTTCAAAAAAACTAGGTGGCTCAAACAAGCTCGTAAGAAACTTGGAGGCTCGAACCAACCCTGAAAACTTTTAAAACACAAGAGCCTTGAAACAAGACAAGTTGAAATTGTCAGCAAAACACATGGGAACCTTTGCAGACTACAATCAATTGAGAGCCAAGAGATCATAAACTTTAACCAATGCTGAAAAGATTAATCAGGCAACCAATCAGGGCTGAAAAACATGAAAGAAGAACCAAAACATCAAAACCTCAGCGAAGACAAAACAAAGCTTGGCAAAGCTAAACACTGACACGATTTCCTTTGTGAACAAATGGAGGAATTTCATGAAACAAAAAGACCACATGCTTTAAGAAATGATGCGAATGTGGAGGGTGGAGGAGACCTTTTGTCCCATTCCTAAAATAATATGTTTAAGGCTTTAGATTAAGAATCTTCGAAAGCACCATCGTCCTTGTTGAAATCCGAAAATGAATGTTCTTGCATTGCTCATGCTTACCTTGGAGTCTGCATTAGAGGTGGTGATGTCACCACGTGAAGGAGTAATAAATGCCCAGTCAACCCTACATAACTAAAAGTTTACGGCAATGACCAAAAATGTTGACGATGGGACTAGAATGGAGATCATCCCAAACCCCAGGGGTAAATATGTTGAGGTAGGAAACGAGGAAAGGGCCTTTGTGAACTTCTTTGATAATGTTCTTTACCCTGCTCTATCTTGTCGTATATTGAATTCTCTCTTTCATTCCTATAACTTTTCTTTCTTTTTTCCAATTGGAGAAGTTTATTGTAACTCCTTTAAATTGGGGTGTTTCTTTTATTCTTTTATTCTTTTTTTTTTTTTTTTTTTTTTTTTTTTTTTTTTTTTTTTTTTTTTTT